ACATTCTCTCACACAAACTCCCATACACATTCTCACACACATACACATTCTCTCTCACACTCCCCATACATTCTCTCTCACACATACATGCACTCCCCATATACATTCTCACACACACAAACTCCCATACACAATCTCTCTCACACGCAATCCCCACACACATTCTCTCTCTCTCGCTCTCACACACACACACACATACACACACTCCACATATGCATTCTCTCTCACACATTCCCATCCACATTCCCGTTAACACTCCCATACACATTCTCACATACACACCCATACACATTCTCTCACACACACGACTGTATGTGTTCTCTCCTTTACCCATCTGACTCACATGGCTGAATCTTATCAGAAATTTTTATAAAGTTTCCGTCAAGTTTCATGGAGAGGCTCTCACTGCACAGCCTAATGAGTTTTCTCACACTATCGTCCCAAGCCCGCCTCCTTAACTATACACTACACCACTATGGCACCCTGCTCATCCAATGCTAGTCTGATTGCCCTACTCACAGTAGGCAGAAATACTCATCACTGTGGGGATTTCCCAAGATCTCTGGTGCCAAATTTAAAACATCGTCAAACACTAGGCAAAGCGCTGAGAGTCTGGAATTGCCTTGGGTTGAGATGTTTGGCCTGGACTCGGCAGAAAAGGGAAATTGGCCCCTGCTTTGTGGAAAAGAATTGGAGATGCTGGTGGACAGGCTGGTCAGGAGGAGGGCTGTGCTCTTGTCTCACAACCAGCAGAGGAGGCCCCCACACCAGACCTCGCCAGCCTGGTTGAAGGTTCCCGCCAGGGTCAGTGTGGTATCTCTATCAGAAAAATACCCAGCAATGCCAGAAGATAGTCAATGTCCTTCTCCACTCTGTCAGAGTGAGTGCCACCACCTTCTCTCTGCTACCTCACACTCACTATCTTTGCTACCTCACCCAAATCCCATCGAGCCTCAAGCTCTACCCCTCTCACTACTGCCTTCACCCCTCACTGTCTCCCACTCTATCCCCTGAAAGCACTAACCCTGCACTGGCTCTGTGCTGCGTCCTCATTCACCCACACCAGACCTAACAGCTGGGCCACTCGCTTTCATCTCACTCAATCCCTCCATTTGTCTCATTGTGCGAGAATTTGCTCTACAATAGAACAGAAAGAGCTAAGACGCGGAGGGGTGCTGGGGGCAGGGGTCCCGACATTTCTATGGGGAGATATCCTGGTCCCAGTCGTGAGTCCAAAACACCCATATCCCAGCAGCAACGTAAGAAGCATTGTCCATTGCTACATTACTCTCCCTTTATCCACACGGGGAACATATTGTTATCATGCCACAACTTACATGTTTGCAACACATTCTCTGTTTTGTCTCCTGCAGGCACCAGTAACATTGCTGGCATCTCCTTGGTTAAGTGTTTAGTGCGACAAGACACCCAATCCCCCTTCACCTCTGACTAGGAGAGCATGGGTCCCTTAGAGGATGCACTAGCAAGGCTACCTCCTGCACTCTCCTCCCGCTCAGAGACTTGCACCTCACTGAGATTTGTGTCCGCAGCACAAACATGTGAGCACAGCACTGCCATATCACAACAGCTTGTTCAGGGAGAAATGCCCCAGGGTCACTGACACTTGGAGGAATGTGTGGTCCAGGCATCTGCTCAGCCCCTGATAGGAGGTGTCAGCAATTGGCGACTTCATTGGGGTACACAGCAGAGACAGGAGCAGCAGGAAGCTTCATTGGGTAATGGACAATCTAACACAAATACTGCAGGAGCACAGCAATGTCCCTGAACTCCACTGCCTCAGGCATACAAATGTCCGGCTGCATCCATGGGCACGCTAGTACAGCAGTCTCAGAGGCTGTATATACCCACAATCCTGTACTCCAGTCCCCTAACCATTGGTGCTCAGCATTGGTGAACAGGGTGAAGACAGAATTTGAACTAACTGCAAGTGCCCGTTCTTCACAAGGAGACAAGGCAGTGCCAAGGGTCATCCAGCAGAGGAGGAGCCAATGGCAGGCCCCCAGCAGTCACCAGACAGGACACTCCAGAAGTGCTGGGCCCTCTCCCTCCACAGTGCCTGCTCCTTCTCAGCCCTGTGCGAGTTCACGCTGGGGAGGGTGCACATGCCTTTGGGCAAGACACTCTCAGTATGTCTGGGCCCACAAGCCATAAACATCATCTGTGGTGCCCAACACAAACTCCAATGCCAACTGGGTTCAGGGTAGTGCAGACTCTCTTCACCCTGGCTCAAAACCCAGGACTGCAGTGAGAGATAATGGGAAAGTACGTAACTGGCATGGGTGACATGTCACCCATTGATCTAAATCTTCATTTCCCTACTTTACAACCTTCTGCACCCATACTGAGTGATCACACCAGGTATATTAATACTCACCTCCTATTGAAACTAGGGTTCTGCTGTCAATTACCATCCCTGAAAACCCCCTCTCAGATTACCCCTTTCCCTTCAATACGCTAACATCTCCCCTACCTGATATGTTGAGTTGTTCCAAATCACCAATGTAGTCCGAGTCTCCAATCTCCATCTCGCCTTAGACTGTTAGTTCAGGATAAGCGTCTTATCAGACTCAAACCATTACTTCTGTTTCTCTCTCCACTGATGTTGCCAGACCTGCTGAGTTTCTCCAGCATTCTCTGCATTTGTGTCAGATTTCCAGCCTCCACAGTATTTTGCCTTTTTCCCATTGTTAAGTTTCCAATCTTCTCTTTCACGACGGTGGCCCTGATATCCAGTCCCCCCTCCCTAACAGTCCCCTGACTTTTTGTAGCCAGACCCCCTGGATTGATCATGGCCCACTCTTTGGAGTGACGTAAGTGGACAGCTCCAAACAATGAGTGACCAGGCCTCTGAGTGATAACTGTGCAGCTCCCAACTAACTTCTCACATCCACCTGAATTGGTTATGTTCGAGTCACAGGGCTGACTGTGCCTGCTCCTTGGTCAGTAGAGATACAGACCTCCTGCCACTGAACACCCCTACCCCATCCTGATCCTTGTCTGCAAATTATCCCGGAAACAGCATTCCGATGGTAGTGGTCCAAAGTGCGGGATTGCAGTGCACAAGCATAGTGTGTTGGAGATTGTCAGTACCTGTCAAATCCCAGTGTCCATAGAGTTGTATGAGTACTGCTGCTGTGCCATTTGCCAACATTTGGCCCATATCCCTCTAAACCCTTACCATTCATGTACCCCTGAGATGTGCAAGCCTGGAGGAGCAAACATTGAGCCACATACCTCCTCTGACGGTCATGTCGGGAATTCTCGGTGTCTATCCGGTGTGTGGGAGAATGGGAAACTGCACACTAATGAGGTAAGATTAGATAAGAATGAAAGTTATAATCCAGGCAGGTAGGCCTCTTGTTGCTCTCTT